TCCATAAAAAGTAGAAATGCAGTAGTAAAATACAAATACTTTTATCGTAACTCCCGTATGCCCCCAAACCCCAAAAATATCAAGTATCCCACAATCCATTCTCCCCCCAGTTGTAAGTTGTGTAAGATGTAAAAGAGAAAGCTAAATATGGCATCAGGAGACAAAGAAATGTCATCAACTGAAAGATGAAAAATATGGACACGAGAATGTCAGAACAAAGAGAATAAATGTCATCGTTCATCGTGAGAATTCGAGGAAAAGAAGATAAAGAAGTTGTAGTAGAAGAGGAAGAGGAAGGAGAAGAAGAAGGAATAAATAAATAGAAAATCAATGGATCAAAATAAAAAGACGTAATGAATAGAATAACGAGCGCTTAAACATCAGAATGGGGATAGTGAGTTATACCGCGAATTAGCTGATTGAGTGGTGGTTTTCGATATGATGAGACGAAAATACAGAAACCTGTGTATGGTTAGATAAATGAAAACTTAGACATGAAATTAGTGAAATCAACGTACCATTGAAAGTATGAAAGGATTTTGTATCAATCCGATAGCCTTGAGAAGGAAAGTCACAAGAAGATGATGGAAAAAAGCATCGAGACGTCGAAGAAAATAATCCCCTCTCCCCTCTGAAAGAAAAGCGGTCCATACCAAAAAGACTTGCAACTCAGCGTTGGATCTTAACACACTGTTAAAGACCTTTAGATTGGGCTTCGAGTGAACTCAAGACGAATTCATGACAAACCCTCGCTCTGAACCACGTTCCCACAGAGGTGGTGAAACAAGAAGAGACCTTCGTCTTGGTCGTGGAGATTGAAGTATGGGTGTTTGACTCTCCTCGTATACTGTTGGCGACATCAAGTTTATATCATTCAATGGCAAAAATGTCGATTTCGTCTTAATTGGCCCAATTTCCTCGGAATCTAACAGCATTTTTCCAATACTAGCAATTTTCAAAGCATCCCATGTGCCTTCACGTCTAGGGCCTGCTTCCCTTAAGATCGTGACCGCATCTCTCCGTATTTTTTGATCAGGACACGCGTATATCACAACGAAAAGAGAAGGAATAATCCCCGCATCAAAGACGAATGTCTTCAAGAATCGAGGATCGGAAACAAGCTTTTGACTGAGAGAGATAATTTGACGGAAGATGGGAAGGAAGTGATCGGAAATCCTGTAATCAAGGAAAACTCCTTGACCCATGAGTCCTATGCCGAGAGCTTTAATCTGAAGAGTGGTGGCAGCAATATAATCTGCTTTACCCGAAGGAGATTGTGCATAAGAAATGATTGGCTGAAATGCTCTTTGCCAATCTTGAAAGCTAGAACTGAACTTAGGAAACTCGAATCCTGTGAGGATAGGAGATGATGCTTCTGGGTGAAGCTTCTGAATTCTTGAAAAGCTGATTGCCAAACCTTGAGGAGAAAGATCCGGTGATGCCAAGCGCCTTTGTAGGTCTGCCCTTGGTATCTTCGGGAGAGAGTGGTATAGCACATGTTCTAAATGAACTTCGGCTTCTGCAAGATTGTCAAGTTGTCGAGGAATGTCCGGTTTGGGTATATCGTTTGAAATGAGATCAAGGACCTCGTCGCTCAATGAATCTGGATCATCTGGTCGTGTCACGATCGCCAGAGCAAGGTGGAGATACGCGGTGACAATCTCATTTTCTACCAAATCCGGTGCAGGAGAGCTCAACAATGGATTGTGGTGGGGATGACTTGAAATTGCTTCATGATGGTGCATCATCTTAAGTGCACTATAAATGTGTTTGTCGGCCAACTGAGTGTTGCCATCTATCAGATGTTGGGATCAGTAATTGTGTAGCAGAAAGGCTCAAAGAGAGAATGGAGCTTACGAAAATTCTCAAAGCAAAATATAATGAGAGACACAAGTAAAGGTATGCGAAGAGAATTTTGAGTCGTTCGGATAAGGTTACGAAGATACCGAATGGATCTTCCATATTGCTTCAGAGCGTATCGACGGTGCATCTCTACTTGATCGGCTATACCACATGGCGATTAGCACTACATCGTTGAGTAATCCTTGAGACTTACAAATCCTCTTGAAACTGGCTTCACCTTCTTTCGGGCCTATGCATTTCGAGACTTTCATTGCTTTGCTCAAAGCAGCGATTGCGGTGGCAGCATGTCGGACAGAGGTATCTGTATGACAAGATTGAAGGATGATGACGTTGAAAAGTTTCTTCTTGAACCCTCCGGCGAGCTCAAAGACGGTCTCTTTACAGAAGAAATAAAAATATTGAGCCTCTTGCTCGTTACCGAAGTTCAACACGGAGATACTGGGTGGTATTGAAAACGGTGGAGATTCTACGACTTCTTGAGATATGCCAGTGGATATAGTTGGGCCCATCAGCCAAGCCGGTTTATCCTGAAATTAGTGTTAGCAATGCCAGATTAGAGTATAGATTGAAGATATACCTTAGGACTGTACTCGTAGCCATCACACTTCCTCCCGAAGTTTATACATCGCATGCACGATGGTTTGGTCTCATCACATTTGACCCTTCGCAGCCTACAATTCAACGAACTATTAGTAAATGATCGAATGGTTTTCTTTCAACATAAGAAAGTTCAGTATGATGAAAGAAACCACAAACTTCATACTATCAACATTCATTCGATCCACATGATCGATTGAACATTCTAGTCACCACTTTTACTCACTTGCAAGTGGTACACCCAGTCTTTGACTTCTGCCTGCACGCACGTGTCTTCCTAAAAGACAGTGGAGATGGCCCTGCTAACGTGATATCTGAAGAGAAACTCATTGCCGTCTTGAGAATATGGCAATGATGAGAAGTGAAATGCGAGAATATGAAAGAGCCAATTGGGAAAGAGGAATGGTGTGAAACAATATGCTAGCCTAAGAAACAGGGCTAGGATAGGAGAGAAGGGGAGTAACAGTGAGAGAGGAAGACTGGGGAGACCCGAGACTTCTAAACGCGCGCAAGATTGAAAAGGAGAGTGAGAGATTGAAATCAGCGTTAGGAGATCCGGCTCCTTGATGAGGAAATCGACTACGTGTATAAGTCTGCGGCGGTAAAGATAACAGCGGTAAAGATAAAAATGATTCTTCCATTGCTATATAGGGCTGGTGATGGAGATAAAGTACTCCACGCGGATGTGTATTAAAAGGAGTAATCATGGTGCTCATTGTTGATGATACAAACAAGGTGATGTTGTTGGAGTGTGGATCCCAAGCGTTATATTTTTTGATACTATATTTAAAAATAGAAGTGACAGAATGTAAAGACAAGGTTGCCATGGTTGATCAATTTTCAATAATTAGTGACCAATATATCTTCCAATCAGCGGAGGCGATTCTATTTCGAAAGTGTCGTAATCCTTGACTTATGCCTCATTAATCCTTGCTCCGATCTTATCTTCTCATCAAATCCCAAGGTTTCCTTAAACGCGCGACGGTGAGGATAGACGATTCCGTGTGCGTGCCTTGCATGAGATATTTGCAGAATCCTTCGAACATCCGTAAGGTTATTATGTGATCTGTGCCAAATCACCCAATACCACTCGATGGGGATGGGGATGGGGAGATTAAATCCCATTTCTATTTGAAGATACTCATACTTCGTACTCACTCATGAGAGACGAGGCTGAAGAATCCCTTATTTGGGATTTGGCGCGCCGAGAAGTTGAGAATCATCGTGTGTAGACGCATCAATCATCCGTATTAAGGTCATGGTCCAGGGAATTGGGAGTTTTTGAAGGATGCAAAGGACCCGAATACGTACGGGAAATGGCGATACCAGGAAACGGCAGATCTTGCAGGATTTCTTCATACCATTCTGCACTTTGCCCACTAAGAATAGAGACTGATTGTATATTACTCCGTATGTCTTTGCGTGCCTAGGCAATCCGTAGGGCTTTCCATCCAAGAGTCCTGGAAAAGATTGGGTGCCGCAAAACTGAACAACTCTTCAACGGGTATGAATAAGCTGAGGATGTAATAAGGTGATCCATATTTATGTCAACACTTTATCTCATTTCCGTTCTCTTAAATGTCAGCTCCTGCTCATTGACCATTGTTGTCTTTCTTTCTTTCTTAATTTTGGTGTGTTGGCTGTTGGCCGTGGCTACATCCGACACAAATCCACCATGAGTTCCATATGATTGTATGCCAATCGGACTAGCAAAATGGGGCTCCACCGTGAAAAATGATGATCAAGTATTGAAAGACTCGTGCGAACTTGAGATGTCAATTTATGAGGTATGAAGGAAGTCCGCTAAATAATAAGCATGAGATTAATTGGGAGCCACAGGGTCACAAAGCCACCTCGCTGCCGCCCGAAGATTGGATTCATATTTGATCACATGATCATTCACGGTATGAAACATATCAACCAATGAACGCACAACAGTTGAGCACAGAGGCTGCCATCTCATTTCTGCTCCACTAAGTTTCCATACAGAAATTACGAAATCCAAACAGAACTTTATTTCGACCTTCTGGGTAGGTACCTAGGGTAGATAGGTAGGTTTTGAAGCAAAAAGGACTCTTCTCTTCTAGCTGAGACAATACGACAGCCACATCACGTTGACTTGGCGACAAATCTATTGGAAAAAGAATCAAAGCTGGAAGTTCTTGGAATCAGCATCATTCTGTCCGTGCCAAGTCGAGCACTATTTATTTGCCTAGGCATTATGCAAAGTCCACCTGCACCTGCACTGGTTGTCTGACCAAAGTCGGGTTTTCGTGGTCATGGAAATGGTATGTAATGATTCGGAGGTAGGTACCTAGTAGGTAGGTTATGGAGAGAAGACAGAAACAATTCATTCATGATCGGAATATTTGCAACAAGGCTGATGAGTGAGCGATCGATGGACTTATTACCTAGTAGGTAGATAGCTAGGTAGGTAGTCGGTACTTTCTTTCGTTTTTTATAGACACGATACCTCCTAGATAGTACCATGATAGATGTAGATATGCATTCATCCATTTCATCTTATTTTCTTTTCTTCCCTTAACCTTACCAAGAAATCCAATACGAGGCTTGGATTGAATTTCTTTCAAACCTTCCGGACTGATCGGAACATCTTTTTCTTTCATGGAAACACAAGTCTCGGCTCTCCACAACCTTCTTCTTATTCTATTTTGGAAGTGTACCGTATACTACGAGACTACCCAGGTACTCACGAATCGGATTCAATATTGTACTATGGATGCCAACTCGACTGCACGGTACTTGATTTAACCCAACCCCGACGAAAGTTCGTTCCTCGCTCCTCGTTCCTCGTTCTTCCTTCCTCGATTGCTTTTTGCATTCTTGGTCTGGAATTCCAAGACTACTCCGCCTCATTATCCTTGCTTCTCTTTATAAATCTGCATTCCCCGCAAGATCATCATCTAGGATTCTACCTCCACATCCACGCCTTCCATCAATACGAGAGAATTCCAAAGATTCGTCACTACCTACCTTGTACAACACAACCAACCGTTACTTGACTTTCAATCAACCTCTTCACTCTACAACCACCAACTCCATCAAAACAACACAACTTTTATTTCCATAATAATCATCCTATTATGGTGTCGGTCCCGGTTTTGCTACAATCGAATCGCTCTTTGGCTTAATTTTTGGGACTGCTGCTCACTCTCCCCCTCAGAAATTAATTTGGTCGTTCAATTGTTCGTTGTTGATCTTGGTTCTTGGGAAAATAGGGCATAGGAAGTTCGAGAAGAACAATTCAATCGTTTATCCTATCCCGTTTGGAACCATTCTCTGGATATAATTTAATTGAAGGAATTTCCTACTGTCGTTTTCGAGGTTGTTTCTGAATATTTCGTCATATCCATCTCTGGTGTGCTTTGGTGTATAGACGTCATTGACCCCGGCGCTTTTTCAACCTCAACACCTACCTAGTAGTTTATATTTATTACACGAAACTACACAAAATTGCACAAACACAAATACCATACCCTTAACCATGAAGGTTCTGAAGTCTTTATCGACTTTTGCTACAGCTTTCATAGCTGGGAGTCATGTCGTTAATGCGATAGAAGTCGATCTTGATTCTCCGGGTATGTATTTCGCTCTCTATGTTAAATATTATATACTGACTACAAATTCAGATTCTATCAAGTCCGCGGCGAGTACGATTGCGTACGATATGATGTCCTATTACACAGGAAACCGAACAGGTGGCATACCCGGGAATCTACCGGCTCCATATTATTGGTGGGAGGCCGGAGCAATGTTTGGCTCACTGATTGACTATTGGTATTATACAGGCGATTCGTCATATAACGATGTTACTACGGAAGCGATGCTGTGGCAGACGGGACCAGATAATGACTATATGACCCCGAATCAAACTAAAACGGAGGGAAATGATGATCAGGGATTTTGGGGATTGGCGGCTATGTCTGCAGCCGAAGTGAATTTTCCAAATCCTCCCTCAAATAGGCCCCAATGGCTCGCTCTCGCGCAAGCAGTTTTCAATACTCAAGCTCCCCGATGGGACGATAGTACTTGTGCTGGAGGACTACGATGGCAAATTTTTACCTTCAACAATGGTTACAATTACAAAAACTCAATCTCTAATGGTTGCTTTTTTAATTTGGGTGCGCGCCTTGCGAAATACACCGGCAACGATACATATGCACAGTGGGCAGATAGAACCTGGGATTGGATGGAGCATGTGGGGCTTATGGATGAAAAGTACTATGTTTACGATGGTTCTGACGACACTCTTAATTGTACCAAGCTCAACCATATACAGTGGACTTATAATGCTGGAGCTTTCCTTCTCGGCGCGGCAAATATGTATAACTATACCAATGGAAGCGATATCTGGCGTGGGCGTGTCGAAGGTTTACTAAATGCTACCCATGTTTTCTTTGAGGATAATGTCATGATTGAGGTAGCTTGTGAGAATAACGGAAAATGCAATGTTGATCAACAATCATTTAAAGCATATCTTGCTCGCTGGCTGGCGGCTACAACGAAAATGGCACCTTTTACCTACGATTCTGTTATGGAATTACTACGCCCTTCAGCTAAAGGGGCTGCCGCATCATGTGTTGGAGGCGATAATGGACGCACTTGCGGGCTTAATTGGAGAACGGGACAATTCGATGGATTTTATGGAGTGGGCGAACAGATGTCAGCTTTAGAGGTCATTCAAAGTAATCTCATTGCGCAGGTAGCGGGACCAGTCACTAATACCACGGGTGGAACAAGTAAAGGTGATCCCACTGCTGGATCTGGGAAGAGCCCGAGTAACTATCAGGCGACACAACCAGTTACGACGGCTGATAGGGTTGGAGCAGGAATTCTTACGACAGTGGTATTGCTGGTTCTTCTCGGAAGCATCTGGTGGATGATTGTGGATTAAAGAAAGGAACTCATGAGGGTATTCTTGTATATATATTAGTGCTTGGAACGGACACGAAATCTCCTACAATTATGGGTATTCGATGCGCCAAATTTTGGGATTTCTCTGTAATTTTGGGCGGTAGATGGGATACGGAATCGAAATATTGGAGTTTTGGGGCGTTCAGTAGGGATTGGAGTGGCACGGGTCTGATTAGGGTATCGATCTGATGACGGTCTACGTGATAAATGAAGATATTGGGGAAAGGAAATACGCGGCCGCGCATAATACTTACGTGCATGGACTAGGATTAGAATCGGAAGTAGATGATAATACTACATGAGGCTTTTGGAAGGTACGGGGATTAAATGATCAAATTTGGTTTGAGCATAGTTTGGTGGGATGTGGAGTGAGGAGTAAAAAGGAATTCTTGTAATCTTTTTGGTTCTTGTAATTTGTAAGAAGAGAAATTGAAAGGGAAAACAAATGTAAGATGGTGAATTTTTACTTTGGTATGATGTGATAGATGTAGAGGTTGAGTGGGTGTGAAATGAGGTGAGATGAGATGTTTGATTATTGAGTACCTAGGTAGTAGATAACATTGAGAAGTGAATTGATGTGATGTGATATGATGTAATGTAATATGATGTGATATAATATAATGTATATAGATAGGTATTTATGGATGGTTTATATTTATTTATATTATTTATATACTAGATAGATATGTATACTGTTGAACCTTAATGCCTTGTATTTAAGGTTACTAGGAATGAGGGGTAATCAGGATCGACAAAGGCTTATAGAAGATTCTAGTCTTGTAGCGACGACGACATTGATTAGAAATACAAGAGATAAAACAGAAGGTTCTAGATAGTCCTGAAAGGCCTATATATACAGGTCCTCTATCATTGTAAATAAATAATTAAGTTGAAATCAATATTCAAAAAAAGGACAATATTAAATCTGAGTCACCACTCGCGTATATATTATATATCACTTATATATATATGATAAACCTCTGAACAAGATATACATTAGATAGGTAGGTAGGTAGGTATATAGGTAGGTAGGTATATAGGTAGGTAGGTATATAGATAGGTTAATTAGTTGTTGAATTGATTATATTTGAAAAGATATGGGGATCTGAAAGGAGATGTAGATGGGAATGGAGATAGAGACGTTGGAATATGGGGTTGAGATTGGGGGATGGGATGGGATGGGATGGGATGGGATGGGATGGGATGGGATGAGAGATTAGAGATGAGAGATGAGAGATAGAACATGCTTTTTTGGGGGGGGGAGGGGGGAGGGAGGGTTTGAGATTAGGGGAGGGTTTGGATTGGGATTGGAGAGAGTGATTGGAGAGAGTGATGAGTGATGTGGGATGGAGGGTATAAGGAGTGAGGGTATGAGGAGTAAAAGAAAGGGGGGGAATTTGAGGAGGGAGGGCAGATGAGAGATGATGGGATGGCATGTGAAGGGGACTGAAGGATATATGATTATTGATATTTGATGGAGAGGATGTAATATTATAAGATTATATAGTAGAATTTGAGAATTTGAGAATTTGAGAGGTTGAGGAGGGGGTGGGAGGAGAGGAGAGGAGAGGAGAAGGGGGGGGTTATAGATGTAAATAGATAAAAGAAAGGAGAGGAAAGAAAAGGAGAGGAAAGAAAAGGAGAGAGGATGAGGTAAAGTTAAGTTAAGTTATGAGTGTCAGTGTGAGTTGAATATAAGTGTGAGTATGAGTTGAGTATAAATATGAGTTGAAGATAAGTGTAAGTATGAGTTGAGTATAAATATGAGTTGAAGATAAGTGTAAGTATGAGTTGAGTATATAAGCAGAGGGTAGAAATTGATATGATACGAGGTGAGATGAGTATGTAAGTATAAATGTAAGATGTGATGAGAGGAGATAAAGTTAAGTATTCGAGTTGGGTTGAATATGAGTATGAGCTGGGTGTGTAAGTTGAATATGTAAGTTGAATATGAAAGTTGATATGTTATATTATGCATTGCGTATTGCATATTGCATATTATGTACGGTATCCACATAATTCGTTTAATATTGATATTATTTCAAAGCGAGTAAAAGGGGGGAGATATGTATAAAGGAAAAGAGGGAAAATAATATAAGGGGTAAGTAGGTAGGTAGATAGCTAGATAGAAACTAGCAACCCTTCATTGTAAATTCAAAATCCTGCGAGTATACTTAAGAAGATAGAGGAATAGGATGAAGGACACAGATACAAGCTCCTACAAAAGAGGATAGGAGCTGAGATCAATTATATAAATCTTTCATTAATTGAGTTTTAGATCATCGGTAAATTCATTTATGGTGTATGTTTAAGAGATTGAAAGGGATGTTGAGTTTTGATTGTTTGAATGATATTTAAAAGTTTACTTTGTAGGATATGTGAGGGAGGGAATGAGGTATTGGAGGTGTTGAAGATGTTGAGAAGCGGGAAAATCCGGAGGGGGGTTTCTTTGTAGGGGAAGATGGGGATGTGCATGGAGTCGCTCTTGTAAAGATAGAAGAGCGAGGGAATATAGAATTGTCCATGCTGTGAATTGAGATTACTTATTGATCTATCTAATCTGTAACTGTGGATTTGATATTTATTCCTGATAATGGGGATGGGGATGGGGTGGCTCGTTACGGTTACAGTAACTCGACGTATGAGTATGAGAGGGTTTTTGTGCGAATTAAGTAGGTATGGAGGGATCGGTAAGGATAAAGTGATTATAGATAAAATCAATCAATAAGATAAATAAAAATTTGACTTGTATTTACTTTGGAATTTGTGATACGATGTGATGGATTCTTGGAAGACGGAACGTGAATTCATTGTGCTTGATTTTGGTGACTCGTTTCGCTAAGGTATGTAGAACGTAACTAGTTACGGAAAGAGATTGAGATGGATAACTATCAAATCAGGGGATGTGGGGTAAGGACTGAGAAACCTTTTTCAGAGGAGGGCTATCTGTACAGTGATTTTGGGAATAGGGAGGGTTGGATGGATTATGGTATTGGGGTTGGTATTGGTGTTGGTTTTGATATTGATTTGTTTTTGATGGGGTGGGGAGGAGAGGGTAGGGTGGAGTGGTGTAATTAAAAGAGAATAGAGAGGGTGGTGTTATGATGACATGGCTTGATGAACTTTATGGCGGTTTGTGGCGGGTGGGTAGAGAGATTTAGAGTATGGGTATTGGGGGCAGAAATGTATTGAATGGTGAGGATTGAGAGATGGTAGGGTGGGAGAAGAGATTCAGGATGCTGGAGCTCGAGGGATTCGATAGAACTGGATTGAAGGGCTAAAGATTGGGAGACAAGCGAGATAAGACAATATGCACAGGATTTAGGGATGGGGGTAAGAAGAGTTGAAGAGGGACGAGAAAGATGTTATCAGTGGAGTGTTGGTAAGCGCAAGTGCGTTTAAGGATTTGCAATTTTCGTATCTTGGATGCAAGAGCAGCGGTTAGGTTGAGATCATTCATTGCAATATCTGCCCTCCAGCTGTCACCATTCACATCGATTTATATCGCAAGTGCAAAAAATATTCTGGGGCAAAAAAGCTCCTATTTTCTAAGTACATAACCAGTTCCATCAGTCGCTGACATATCTTTCCATGGCATATGTACATTTATTTCTCTAAAAAGAAATTCTGAAGCAAAATATTCACATGTATTTTTGAAAAAAAAAAAGTTCCTAGAACAAAGTATTAGCAAGTCTGCTGCAATCAGATGGGTTACTTTGAGTCTATTACTTACTTGCTTTTGCTATCAGTCCAAGCAGATAGCTTCGTCAATCGATGTACCACTTGCCTGGTAACTAGCGATTCTTCTCTCCCTTTCCTCTCTTTCTGCTTGTTCCCTTCTCTCTTGCCAGACTCGTGCCCTTGCTCGCATTTCGGCGATGGTAAGCTTTGATCGCCTGTGGTCATGTGTTAGCAGATGATATATGATGATTTTTATTCTGTGCAATCAACTTCTGATTCTATATTAAAAGAGGGTATGAAACGGATTCAACAATTCAAATAATTTGAATCTTCGAGTTGGATCAAGGGATTCAAGCATCATCATTGTGGGACCGCAGTACGGACTATTGGGATCTCTGATTGTTCAAAAGGGGGAGAGACTTACACAAGTCCGTGTTTGTTGACAATAATGCCCAAGCTTTTGACAAGCGCATCGTTCGCTCGTTGCTGAGGTTCCCGGACGACAGGGGCGACAGGGGCAACGGCGGCATTTCTCTGCTCCTCTTCATATGCTTTATCATATTCAGCATTGAAGTCAGCATCGAAGTCAGCATCGAAGTCGTTACCCTCTGCGTCCTCGTCAACCTGGCCATTCTCAGCTTGTGGCTCAGGTGCGAGGACGGCAGCGGCAGCGGCAGCGGCAGCGGCTTCTTGCGCTATCTCGATGTCCATCTCGAAGTCGTAGTAGAAACCGTCAGCTTCGGAGGTCTCGTCGACCTGGCCGTTTTCGGCAAGCGGCGCGCCCGCTTGAGGCTCGGAAGCGAGGGAGGGAGCAGCGGCGGCGGCTGCTTCGACTTTCTCATATTCTTTATTGAAGAGTTCATCGAACGCTTCAGAAAAGCCGTTCTCCTGGGAGGCCTCAGTGACCTGGATGTTGTATTCTGATTGTTCGGACATTGTTGAATTTAGAAGAATGTTTAGTATGGGAAGGATGTCTGATATGGGAAGAATGTCTGGAATGGGAAGAATGTCTGGTATGAAAAGATTATTTGAGATTTGGTTGATGTAGGACTAATAGAATCATGAAGAATTCTTATATACCATATTTACATCTGGATCAGCTAAATTACCCCAGACTCTGTTCTGGTGCCGGCTCTGAGCTAAGACCTTGTCGTTATGTCTAGTGGTGAACTGGCGTCCTTGAGAAGACTATAGTAGCGGTTAATGGCTCATATGAGGTCACTAATTAGTAGCCAGAACTCAATGAGCATTAGAAGATATCTGCCAAGGGCTCAAGGGATCGTTGTTTACAGCGACGGGTCTAAATCATATAATGGCTTACTTTTTGAGGTCAGAAATCATAATTTTCCGAAGGAAGGTACGTGTACATTGTAAGATGATTCAAAGATGATACTGTGTGTTTTAGTTGACTTAATTACATATGGATATCCTTCAGAAATGATTTTTCAGTAAATTGCAGCTTCTAAGCGACATATTTGTTCAATACCTCATCATGAATCACAGCGGGGATCTCGAGTTCGATCAAAGTATCAAGAACCGTTGAACTTTCATACTTTAATTTGGCACCACACACTAATAATTAGAAAGATGTATTGGTCTGGTGCTAGCTCCGAAGCTAGTCTTTCTGGCTTCGCACACTAAATCATAGTTTATAGTTTATCACGTGTAGATTATTATTTACAAACAATCGCATACGTAGGTATGCAATTTCAACTTTGACCGATTAAGAAATTCGAATGATGCAATTCGATTACTGCAATTTGATTTCTCTTTGATCTAACAGTAGTTAAGTATACGATTTCGCATGTCATTACTGTCTTGAAGAGATTTTGCATCTCGCTTTTCTTTAGCGAACATGATATTCCAGAGCATTCTCCTATCCAAAAAGGGGGAGAAAAGAGGTGCGCATGATGAAGTCGACCCTGAGTAATAGAATATGACATGTGATCTTTAAAACTGGAAACATGCAATCCGCTGATAGTCTCCTCTGAATGGTCTGCTACTTCCTATTCTGGGAAGCAAATGACCCGCTAGAGTTTTTAGTGTTCATTCCACTAAAACGCAAAATAATTGCGAAGAGTCCCTCTTCTTTAGTATAGAGCTAGTGATATCTAGTTTAAGATAGATTATGTCATTAGACTCGGTATGTTGAAGTAATTCAACAATATAGCACATTCATATTTTCCTACAATCTTGATCAATTCCATGTCATAGAATAGCGATGTAGACGATCGCTTTTCCCAATTATGAATTACCCGGTTATTTGAGAGAGCCGAATACATTCTGGGGCGTCTCGGCAGCTTGTCAAGATGAGTACTCAGAGAGCTCTCCGAACATATTCGGATTTCGAAGAGGTTCAAGTAGATGAACAAATTTTCACTACGCCGCCCCTAAGCCTCTTAAGCCGTGAGAGAAACCCTAATCTACGTTTCAGAAGATATTGACAAAGTTATTCAATCCTCACTTCCCGATCCATGGATCAATGAGCAATGATGTGTTGATTAGATAGATCGGACCTCGCTATGGAACTACATGGGAGATGCTCAATTTTTCTTCTTACCGTGCCGCCTGTGGTTGTATTGCCTCCTCCACTTCTTGGCCGCCTTTTGAATTTCATGTTTTCGATAGACTTCCAGAACATTGCTGGAAGGGCTGTCAAATTCTAGAAGGAGACTGAAACGTCGTTTGAAAATTGGTTTCTGGGTGGCTTTCAAATCATTATGATTTTGGGGTTTGGGGTTGATGCATATTGTAATTACAAAGCTGGAGTTGTTAACATGATTTTGAGATATAGATCTTGTTGTTGTGGGCAGTGAAAGAAAACGACATATCAGTCGACATCATTCATATCTTACGTTTTTTATTCTGCAATGGCCAATTTAGATCTCCATTTAGATCTCCATACCGAGATGTAAAGTAATATTTTGGCTAGTAGGGTGTGTCGACTGAGGATCACGCTCTGCCCAAGCTGTCACGTTCGATTGTCTTCAACCATCCACAATTTCTTGGATTGAGAAATTTTCTTGTCATTAAGTAAGAGCATTCGCGTTTCGATTTTATGTTGCACCCCATAAAACAATGTTTGTATTGACAATCATCTCTTGCTGTGTGTTAGAAAGTTGCTAAGCTCGCCGATATAGCCATCATTTATCTCAGAAGAATAAGATTCACCCTTCCAGACCTTTATCCCAGACTTAGAGGCCAAGATGTAGCTATTTTTGATCTCTATTCGAAGAGTGGAATTTCCATACAGGGCTGAAGAAAGTGATAGGCTGTGCATCAGAAATATTGAAAATCAGCTGGGTTTCTATGACGTTTACAATTGCGAACCGCCTCCAACATCTAATGTAAGATCTTACGATATAGACTGAGGATTGATATAGTGTATTATTGGAAGGGTGGTAAGAATAGGTTATCAATAATTTTTGGAAATCAGCTGTGAGTATACGACAACTTTGGAATATTGCTTTGCAGCGTCGGGATGAAAGGTCTACGGTTGCGGACGAGTCAATTTCTATTATTGGTTGAGATGAAACATTAGCCTTACCAACCTATTACTGTGACTATTAGCTCGAACTAAACTCCTTCCCCGGATATCCGTGCAACATCTGCCACACTACTACATGGTCATGTGATCATCGTAAAAGCTTGGAATTCAAAATGGGTTTGCAACTGGTGTTCGCATGTTGGGAGTCGAACGATGGAATCTTTGAGTTTGAAGTATATTGTATATCCGGACTGTTGGTAATACCTGGCCCTGTTGAGAAAACGATCTACGCAAGGATCACGAGAGGGTTTGCATATACGGAGACGGTCCAACAACCGAAATATCACAACCTCACAGAATATCTGTTTTCTGCTTACCACCCACATCCAGAGAGACGTTGTGTGTGAATACACTATCATGCCAATGGAACACCAGAAAGATACGAACATTAAATCAGCTGATAGTGACCAGCTGTACGCCAATGATTTGCTGCAATTTGGGTATTCGAGGTTGTACAAACTCTACACCTTTTGAATCCATACCCTGCCGACGTGGGACAACACGACGGGAAAGCATGTGTAAACATGCAGGCAAATCCCAGAAGAAAATCCCATGCGGACGAATCTTAATCGCCCAGCCAACCTTTAATGGAGATGAATCTCAACAATTTTGGATCTCGCATAGTTGCGATAGCAACAAATTTGAGTATAGAGATGTCCTTAAAGCCCGAAGCCAAGATTCCGGGATGTAACTCCATTTCTGCACGACTAATTATTTTCCACAATCATATTTGAGGATTTTTGAGTGTTCTTTCAATCACTCAGCTACGCACCGAGTTGAAACATTCATTGGGTCGTTTGACTCCCGAAAACGCAAACAGACTCAGTTTGCTACCGCCACCAACAATTGAATGACAATATTCTCATCATCGGGGACTTCAATATTCCAAGGTATTGGAACTGGGTTGGTAGGAAAATAGTTTCAAAGTTGTAATTGGAAATGTTTCACAAAAGCGGCTGTGAAACCGTCGAAATGTGCCAACGAAAAGCAGTAATATAATGAAATTAGAAATGCCGTGACTTTGTCAAGACTCAGTCAGCCTTGCATGATCTACAGCGTGGCTTTAATGGCTTTCCGGCTTTTGAATCTTTCGCCCAGGCTACCATGTAGTATCTGAGAATAGCAACTCTATTCTCAACTACATTGGTTTGCTCAACGCAATCTTGTCGATATTGTTTACTATTTTTTGACTTCAAATCAGTGGAGGAGAGACACATATCTACGGTACATCGAACACGAATTCGAAGCCATAGCCATAGCCAAGTTGTCCATTCTTAATTTTATTTGAAATTATTCCCTTTTTGACCCTCCAACGGGCTCAGGTCCAACGCCGAGCTGAATTCTCAACCTCCAGATTTCCTATAATATCTATGACACTTCGAGACTACCGTTCTGTTATAAATTCTCTCTCTCCCCTTCATCATTTCACTTCGTTGGACAGCCACAGGTTAATCGTTACACAGCATTTGTTTATCATCGTTGTTACACTCCAAAATGGCATGGATGAAGGGACTACTTACTAGAGCGGCTTCGTTACATGCTTCGTTATCTCAATATTCTACTAATGGTCAGTGATCTATAGCTACTACAACTGAACTTACTGACTTCTATTGTAGGGCTATCTACATATGGGTGTTTGAACGCCTCCACACTTCCTCCATTTCTAAAAGATGGTGGTGTATGTTCACTTGGCGTCAAGCACATAAGTTGGTCTCCAGCTAACATGTTAAAAGTCATATTACGGACACCCTTGGGGAAACGCCAAGCCAGGACCACACCTACCACCCAACACTGGAAAGACTCGGCACTATGATCTCACAGTATCCAGATCTATCAAAGCACCAGATGGGTATCAGAAAAGTGTTATCTTAATTAATGATCAATTCCCTGGACCACTCATCGAAGCAAATTGGGGAGACACGATTAGCGTCAGAGTCACAAACAATATTACTGATAATGGAAAAGAAGGGCTGAGTCTTCATTGGCATGGTCAACCGCAGAAGCTGACTCCTTGGGCGGATGGTGTACCCTCTGTCTCCCAATGTCCCATTGCCCCTGGAAGTAGTTTCACATACGAGTTTCGAGCCGAGTCTTTTGGAACCAGCTGGTATCATTCTCATTTTAGCGCTCAGTACAATGATGGCCTTTTTGGGCCATTGGTGATTTATGGGTAAGAGAACCATCATCAAAATTTTAAGTCGCTTACTAAAATCTCAAAGTCCCAATCACGTGGATTATGATATTGATCTTGGTCCTGTCATGCTGGTTAGTTATTTTGCTTTTCAATTTTGTTTTCGCGCTGATGTTTTATAGTCTGACTATCTTCATCAATCATATCGTAGCATGGTTGTAGGCGTCGCGACAAAAGTTCCGAATGGTCCAATATTCC